TTATACCAACCGGAAGCGGGCGTTCGCCTTGACAAAGACGCACTTCAATGTGGCTTGGGTTGACCTTCCTTCGCTTTTACATCCTTCAGGTCTTCAATAAATTTTTCTTTCTCCTAAAACAGAGAAGACACAAAAAAGGTATTAGTGGGGACCCATTGACTGAGTGGATGGGGGAATGGGGATAGAGATGGAGGAGAATGGGAAGACTCACTACTTTGGGAGCCTCTCGATGCTTGAGCATCGGGAAGCCGGGAATGGCTTCCGCTAGAGAGGTGCGTCGACTGCTAGCAGAGTCACGTCGTGCTTGTAGTTGTTGCTCCAACAACTTCGGGTCGAGAAGGCTTGGCTTGGGAGATGTTCCCCGGCCCTGTAATGCAAGTATTTAGGAAGAAATACCAAATGCAGTCAAAAAATACGAAATTACAAATTATCGACTAAGATCAACTATTCCAAGGTGCTGTCAGAGTGTCAAAATCGATTATCAGGGAATTTGAATCTGAAGCATTTCATAGAGAGAATGAACTGAAGGGTAGAACTTACATCGGAAGGCCGCCGACTGCCAGGTCTCGGTGTGGTTAACAGCTCTGGGGTCGCGTCGTTTGCTCCTGTATTTTGCATTCTAAAAAAACACGTCAGAGGTGCCACATAACTCCACTCTCACCGAGTAAATTGCATCCTCCTCTTTATTCAACGACATTTGACAGCTTAAAATTTTACGGCCTTGGACAGTAAACGCAGACTCATGAAATGCAGTCATGCAAAGTACCGCATGCATTGTCGGAGTAGAGTAGATGGGACAACTTGAGAGCTACGTAAAGGCTACCAATCCATACTAAACGAATCCGAAATGCGAAGGGTCAGAGGAGGTCAGAGGCTCGGTGTGTATAAGGTGGAATTGATCATCATAAGATTGAAAGGGATGCAATGGCGCTTCATTGACGACTAAACTATACGGAAACGAGGGAAGAGGAAGAGCGGAGGAAGCGTTGGTAGCGAGCAATTTTGGATGCTGTAGTAAGGCTAGCGTAAAAGCCAGTAAAACACTTTTTTCTATCTATTGTATTTATTCTCTTGTACACGCAGAAAGAAGGGTTGAAAGTTGACTTCTGACCAGAGGCTCATAAAGGCCCATCCAACTTTCCCTACTCTTTAGAGTCATCTGTTTAGTGCCTCAGCATCTGATTTGCGAGTGGGTGGAGTGGGTACCAAGTGCAGTCAAATGTTGGTCGTAGTCTCCTCGGCTAGAAGGAGCCGTGTAATGAGGGTGCAATGCAATGCAGTGCAGTGCAGTGGATCCTGACGATTGTCGGCCTCATCAACGCGTCAGCAATGCAACGCGAGGACTGAGGAGGTGCGGGTGAGGATGAATGCGTGATGCATGTTGCAGATGGTGCATGTCTGCTCGATGTCTACAAAGTAAATGTGAGTGAGGGGTTAAGGACTCACTCTCCTCATTCAGAAGAACATGGAGTCAGCTAAATTCACCTTCATATCACTCATCAATCAGTTGGTATGGGGTTTCTATCACGTGCCATAAACATCAATCAGAAATAAAAGAAATGTGTATTGCATTAACAAAAAAAGCTATTTAATCAAACCCTCTTAATGGAGCGCTTGCCCTCCGCAGGTCCATTACGAATGATAATCCCCCTGGAAAATATGTGAGTTACTTCCCCAAGTTTGTTTAACCGTTGGCTTCCAATGACGTACGCCTCGTTGAATGCCTGTATGCCTGTGTGTGTGTGGGAATTTGTAATGACCTTAATTGGAGGAACGGCAGGCGTGCCATAATCCCCTCCGTTTATTGGCCCATTCACCTCGGGTGTGTCAATCGATCCTGGGCAAGTGTGGGTGGGTGTGTTCGTGTGTGTGTGTGTATGTGTATGACGTTGTTTACCCCTGTCTGCGCATGAGTTCACACTTTATTTTTTTCCCACAGATCACAAAATAAGTATCCCCACACAATACACACAGCACAGCACAACACAATTCCTTTAAGCTGTGTTAATGTCGTTATCCCTCTCTCTTTTCCACGATCTTGTGCTTCTTAAAGCAACTTTAGGGGCAACTTTGACTGGCTTACTGCTCTTGAACAGTCACATTGAAAGTCGCGCTGTCACACTGTTGTCCTCGTGAAGACAGCTGGACGGTATAAGTGCCAACATCTTCAGGTTTGAGGCTACGAATGGTAAGACTGATAGATTTATTTGGGTGGTCGACTTTGACGAGGGCTCGGGAGTCCAGTGTCACGTCAACTCCACGGCGTGAAATCTTCACTGTGGGGGCTGTTGATCCACTATAATTCATCCGCATAGACAAAGTGGAACCTAAAAGTCGAACAATTGCTGTCAAGTGCGTCAGTGGTGGTGAATAAACAAGGTCACGTGGATCAAGTTGCCCACCTTCCTCTTCAGACACATCAGAGGGTTTTGACACCAGTTTTGGCAATTCACCTTCATCTTTTGCTGAAAAAAAAAAGGATTTGACAATACCAGCAGTCGCCATGTGGTGACAGTCGTGGAGTAGGTGAGTTTCGAGCGTCAATGGTGCTCTTTGATCACCTAATCAGTTTCTCTGCTAAGGATATCACTAAGATGGGGGAACGAAAAGAACGCACCAGCTTTGATGACGAATTGGGACTTCGTGGAACCGTAGGAGTTGGTTAATTCGCACTCATAAGTTCCGTTGTCAGCTTCAGTTACCTAGATGAAGACATTGAAAACCCGCTTCTTTATATCACCCTCATTAAAAAGGATCTTTCCCCACAATTTGCTGTGCCCAATTTACCCAGCTAAGGCTTGACAAGTCAGTCGACTAAGGACAAAGTTCAGGCGAGGGGGAGATGATGAATGAACTCACGGGGTCAACAGAGAGGGTGATAATTACTCTGCCGCCTTCAGTACGAATGGATTGCTTGAAACGGTTGTCCAGAGTGACAGTTTTGCCATTCTTCCGCCACACTATAGTGGGTTCCTGTTCAGCAGCTTCGGCTTGAAGCTCCACAACAGCCTGCTTCATTACATATGTCACTTTGGGAGCCCCTATAATCTTGGGTCTATAAAAGGAGTCAAAAGAAGACGGCAGTAAGGGTTATCGGTAGTTAGTTAAGCCCGAAATTTTTTGGGGAAGGAGTGAATGCCGATTAGGTGTAAATTACTAGCTAGTAATGAAGGCAAGAAATAAAATAAAATTATGGATGCAGTTTCAAATGCATCGCTTTCTTGCGACAAAATAGGTGACTTGAGGGTGGCACCTGACTCCCATCGGTTTCTCTCACCTACCGTTTATAGCTTAAGAGCTGCATTTATAGAAAAACTGTTATCTGGAAGCTCTTGAGCACAAATGTGAAGAGGAATAAGCCGTCATATGTCAGGATTCAGGTGGATATCGACTTTACCAATGTTATAACAATTGTAAAAAGTAGAAAAAATGTTTAAAAAGTACAAACGTACACTTTGATTGTGTGCGTGGCTTTACTCTCTCCCGCCATGTTCTTAGCATTGCAGACATATACGTCGGCATCGACGTCGATGAAGTTCTATAAGTCCCACCATAAACACAATTATGCAGGCAATACTGTGACAGATCAGATGGGCAGAGGGCGAGATAGATGGATGAATGGATTGGAGATGGGTGGATGAGGAGATGGATAAATTCCCCTCCAAACAGATTATAACATTCCGCGTTTCTACTTTATCGCTTAGAAGCTTACCAGAATACGAAGAATTTGGACGAAGACGGGTCCATCAATCCTGCTGCTCAGTTCGTACTTTCCAACGCGTGGTTTCAGCTCCACGCCTCCCTTAGTCCAGTTAAATTTTGGAGCAGGAACACCAGTACATCGAGCCTCAATGACAACAGCTTTGCCATCTTTGCGCACCGATGAAGGCTGAAATTTGGGCGCCTCGTCTTTCGAGGCTTTGGCTGTATGTGAAAGAAGCGAGTTGAGAGGTCACTTAAATTGATGATCAGCTGTCAACTAAGTCACTTGAGAGCGGATTTTGAATTTTTATGAAATGTTTCGTGCCTACTCAAAAATGAAAAGAATTTGATGTGACTTTTTGCTTGATGTCTTACAATGTCCATCATCGATTGACATTATGACCTTATGACCTAATAATACTTAGAAGTTTTACAAATTCTTGATGCAGATCAGTAAGAGGAGGATGAAACACAAAGCCACTTATTTGCATCCTCGGTCTCAGAAAGTCTCATCTCAACTCAGCGTGGGTGCTCCTCCGCAACGCTGAAATAGCCGTTGCAGAATGACCTTCCTGATCTAGAAGTGAAGGTCTTTCTTGGCAGAAAACCCCCTTTGGATCGCAAAGTCAACAAATAAAGGAGGGCTGGAAACATCTTACCTGATAGATTAAGATTGATTGAAGCATTGCTCTCGCCCGCCGAATTGACTGCTTTAATTTTGTAGCCTCCGCCATCATTCGGAGTGGGATTGGCAATTCGAATCTCGCAATCATAGACATCCGATCCAGCCTCTTTGTAGATAAAGGTTAATTTTCCTGGCTGTGAAGATATCTGTCTGTCATTGAGGAAGTAGGTCAACTCGGGTCGGGGGTTGCCTTCCAGGCTGCAGGCGAGGACAATTTCTCCGGTTGCAGCGTCTTTTCGGATGACCGGTTTTTCGGGAAATTTAGGCGCTTTCAATTGGGGCCTTCAAAAAGACAGAAACATGGGGTCGAAGAGACTATATAACGCTCAACTGATGCGTGCCTTCACCAGGAACATTTTGATCGCTGGGATAACCAAGCTGCCATTTCCGTCGCTACGGCGGACTAGTTTTGCTTACCCTGAAGGCTTTGTGACCGGGAAATGCTAGAGGTTTAGAGGCAAAGTCTACAGAACCGCCATAAATATGTACCGAGAATACCGTCTACTCTATTTCGTAACATCTTCCCCCCATAAATGTTGTTCTGATCCTAGGAAAACAAGTTGTCCTATAAAGATGCTCATGAATGGCTGCAGCAAAGGTGTCAAAGATAAATCAACATGAATGTCAGGCATGAAGGGTTTATCCACTGCCCTTTCATAAGAAGAGGTTTATGGTTGTGCAGGTTTGCAGCATCATTGCGGTGATTACATTCGCCTTCTTCCCTCATTGGTAGAATTCGTCTGCTACTTTATTAAATCCAATCAAGAAATGATCTAATATTTTGGTAATTTTATTGCCAAATTCTGTTGTCACTATCTAGTTCTGTGGTTCACCTAGCCCATCTTGTCAATTATTGAGGTGCTTAAAAGGGGAAACATCCTTCCCTTCCCTATCGTCAGTGACGTAAATCGGTCATGAGTCCGTTCGGCGACTCCATAGAGCACAAGCAGGAGTTGTGGGCTCACACCTGGTCCAGGCATCTAAATTCTCTCAAAAAAACACAAAACTTCACTTAATTTTTATAAACCATTGTCGTTTTATAAGACGTCAAACCTTAGGAGAGCATGAGCGCAAAGACTCACTTGGACTGTCCGAGGTTCAGCTTAATGTTGGCGGAGGCTTCACCACTGGCATTTTTTGAGAAGACCACATACTCTCCCCCATCGTTGGCATTTATGTCCGCGATTTGTAGGGTTAGCACATGTTTGTTACCATTGGTGACCGCTTTAATGGTATACCGACCCCCGGGATTGATGAGCGCCCCGGCTTTGGACCACCTCACGTCACCGATTGGCTTGGCCTCCAGAATGCATTCAAATTCTACGGCTTTGCCAATCTTTCGAATTTTGGGTTGTTCTGTGAATTTGGGAGCTATTCCTGACAGGAAAAAAACTGTAAAGTAGCTCAGAATATCTTAAGCGGCAAAGACTCATTTAGAGTCTTGTTCTGCTGGGTGAGAACATCAGAAAAAATCGGCGTTAGATTTTCGGGGTTCTTAAAGGGATTTGTAGCCAGGTTTATTATCAAAAAGAAATTAATGTTACAAATTCTCCTGCAAATTCATCCATCATGGAGGACGAACTACGCAGTTATGGGGATTGCGGTAATTGGGGGCAGTCGTCTGGTAGCCACACAGATGAGGTGGTATAATGCTTGGCTAAATTAAACGAAGATCGGAGTCTTTGATTGGGGAAGGTACTGCAAAGCCCTTTTGGACAGCAAGTAACAGGGAAGGCAGAAAATTTGTCATTCAATTTCTTATGGCTTTTGCCTGTTGAGAGGCGAAATGGCCTATCAAGAGCTTTACAAGTGCTACACGGTTTGGGAAAGGTGGTTGCCATTCAATTTGTTTATGCAATGGAAAGATGTGATAAGGCAAAAACTTCTAATTTTATCATAAAATTTGCCGTAATGCATATAGACTACGGAAATGAAATGATAGAACGACTTCCATCTTCAGTGCCAACAAACCATGGGAATTGACAGGCTGACAGTTAGGTAATCCGAGTGATGCGTCTAATCAACGCTGTTCACTCCGGATGCCACTTTTTTTCTAGCAAAAAAAAACTGGTTTAATACCCAAAAAAGAGGCTATTAAAAGTTTGTGCCAAAACAAATCCAGTGGAATAGGACCATTGAAACCCGCGGAGCTTTACTTCCACCTGAAGGTGGGTCCAGTCATGAACTAAGCCTACTGCCGATCAAATAACCAATAAAAACTCAATTTAAAAACCGAGCAATTATTTAAGGATAGTTCAAATCCATATCTTAAAACAAAATAAGAGAATCGAAAGGGATTGCGTTCTGCTTGCCCTCAAATCTGCCACTACTGACCCGAAAGGCATGACCTTAACCCACTCACCCACAGCTGAAGTCATTGTCGTTGTGTCCTCTTACTCGTCCTGTCTCGAAAGCATAAAATCCACGCGGTAGCGCTATCACCGTTCTGGTGGCCGCTTTGGGTTTGGGGTTATCGAAAAAGGTATACAAAGGAGTGAATGCTATCCCGCGCGAGCTCTCTCTCCTTCCCTCTGTCTTGGTGGATGGAAGAATGGATGTTTATACGCCGATATGACTGTACTTACAGTGTCGCGCGGTCGAAAGGAGTGACGGAAAAAATTGCAGCAAACCGATCTTTGGGCTACACGCGCATGCACACATACACCTAGGTGTGTATGGGGGAGGGGAGGAGGCGGGGGGGTGGGGCACAAGGCACAATAGCACCAATCTCTAGTGGACCCCACGCTTCCCGTGCGTACGTGTGTCTGTGTTTGGGTGTGTGAGGGTTGTGGCCTATCACAACAGCAAGACGGGCTGAAGCACTCTTCGATTTATGCGTACGCGCAAGTGCCATGGACTGCGATGGGCTGACGGACACGAGAGAGGGTAGGCTGAAGTGGGGGCGAGAAGAGAGGAGAAGGGGACACCAAGGCACACATGACGCACGTGCGCGTCAACCCTTCTATTATTGGGGTTACCAAACCGACAATTGTTCCCCCATCCTTCTCTAGCTCCTCCCCCACCACCACTACCGCCACCGGCGCCTTTCCGTCTTAGGGTGAGAAAAAATTTAATGGCTGGCTTACATCCTTTTGCATCGATCAGCCAATGCACCTTTGCGTGTAGGGATGGAAAAGTCAGTGAAATTAAAAAGTCAGAAAATTAGAAATTCATACTTTAATGTTTTTAATCATCACTGAAAGCAGCAGAAGCGAGAGAATGTCTAGCTGTAAAGCCCCAAATGGCCTTATGGCTATTGAACAAGTAAATCAGGATCGGTCAAGTGCTTTCCTCCTGCACAGGCAACAGTGGTTACCATGTCGATGGAAAAGGTGACCTTTGGGCGAGAATGCTAACGTCTGGGAGGTGGATTCAAAGCAAACTTGGTGTGATAAACGCACTTTCACTCCACCTAAAGTTGATGTGTTTGAAGGGTGACTTAGAGTCCTCTACAGTTTGCTTGTAAAAAACATTATTGAATACGAATTTTTTATGAAAATGCTTACTTTGTGACTTCAGTTAGGTTAATTTTATTCTTTAACTCTGATAGGTCATGGCACAATTTCCTGACTCCTACTGAGGTCATACAGGTTTGTGAATTCCACCTTCTCGTAGTTTTGATTCTGGCAATTCAGAATGTCACGTGCCTCGGAGTGGATTCAACCACGCATGATCGGCAGTTCTAAGGTGACGCGTCAAGTGACTATTCCCAATGTTGGGGCAACGCCGAAGCCTAAGGGATTGCGCTGCTGAGAAACAGTGCCCTGTCACCCATACCACGAATGACAAAGTGTCTTTGCATTTTATTTGGGAAACCCTGAAGAGTGTGCGTAAGGGTTAAATTTGGGTGCTAAATCAATCCCTACGCAGAGGTGTGAGGAGCCTTACTTTCGGTGGTGTGCACCGGGGGAGAGAGATCAAGAATCTTTAGCTTTGTGTGTGGAGTTGAGGTCTTATTCAAGAGATCAGGATGGATGTTTCTGAATTTTGTATTAACTACTACACTGCTTTGACTGCATGCACTTCTCAGTCCTTACTTAAGTTGGCGGTAAAACCTCCTTTGTAGCGGTGCGCCTGGTAACGCCTTTGTCGAGGACTCCGAACGCTACATTGGTGGCAGTGGCAAACGAATTCGATCCATGATTCCTTCAGCTAATTACCCAACTCAAACAGCAAAGAAGAGGAAAACATCCTGTGGGTGACTGATACCACCGGGACAAGTACGATTTTGTCTCTTTGCCCAGGGAGGGAACTAAGAACTGAGGAGACACCCGACTTGAGTCATTTAACAACGCCTATTCTGCAGCCGTCTGTAGTGCTAAGATGGATTACGTGAACAAATGATAACTGCTCCATGTCTCCAATTGCTAGACTTAAGAAATACAGATTATTAAAGCTCTAAATCCACTTTACGTAGCTTTCCTTTGAGGTGGTGTTCAAAGAGCGCGTACTGTGATGGTTGGATAAGAGATGGAAGGAAGGGTGGATGAATGGATGGATAAAGCAGGGATAAGGGAATGTGGGAAGAGGCTGACACCAATTACGTAACCAGCCATTAGTAAAAATGAAAGTAAATTGTAGCAAGAAATGCTCAATCATAGCGTGAGCAAGAATTTCGATTGTCCATTAGTATTTGCAAACGTTTGTTCATTCAGTACTTTCACCACCAACGTCGCACATATGTGACGCGTGTCCTCTTCCCCCTTACGATAAATGATTCCTACTTGTGGCTTTGAAGGGTACTAACTATGCTAAGGATGAAAGTGTGCTGTCCAAATAGCTCAGTAAAACTCCTTTTCGGAAGGCTGGAGTAGATTTTACCCCAGTCTGGCTGGTGGCTGTGGCCAAAGATGGCAATGGCCGCAACTTTCAACCTACTTTACTCAAATAATGCAATTTCCTTGGTTCAAAAATGGCCTTTTCTTCTTCCTCTAAACTTTTGCAGGAATCGCGCCAGGTAATGGCTTCAGGCACCTACCTGGTTACAAGGAATATTTGTATCTCGGTGGGGCAACAACCGTAACTCCATGCCTCCTCAAAACCCAAACTAGGGTCCTTATCTTCAAACTCCCTGAATCACAGAAATATTTTGAGTTAGCTAAGGAAAAAATCCTGTCTATTGAGCACGAAAGGTTCTACCGGAGTGCCAATATAACTTCGAAGTCTACTGTTTGGGAAAAGACTGAACGGTCAAGTAAAAGAAAGAAATAAAGACCGATCCAAGCCGGAAAAAAACAGCTTATTTTGGCATTTAGGTGAGCCATAAATATCTGTTATATCACAAAGCAGTTGCACAATACTGGCCCTTATTCTCCCTCTCGCTCTGCTTATGCTTTGCTGCGTACATTCCATAATAGTTAATTTTCGGTTTCACTACAGGGGATTCCTCGCGTACTCAGTGCAACGGGAGAGCCGACACGGGCCAAAGGCAAGTGTTTGGTAGCACAATATGAATTTCATGCGGTCTCTCCTGTGTATCTGTAAGGTACGCACCTACCACAGGGAAAAATTAATGACTCGACGATATGGCCCACTCGGCTGGGGGATGGACTGAATGACGAGGGCCTGGGGGATGAATCCATTGCCACATTGACTCCTGATTTAGAGGTCATGAGGCTTGATTTTCTGCCACTACACCAGACATCTCGATATTTGACAGCTTTTGAGCGCAGTCCATTGAAAGTGTCAAACAAAATTAGTTTGCGGCCTAAGGCCATTGCACTGACAACGAGTGCCGTTTTGGAGTTCTGTCTACATATTTCAAAGAACCTTTCATGGTGTGGGGGACCACTAACCGTGATTTCGAATACGACCTGCCAAAAATACGATGATGGGGATGGAAAAAAACCCATTAACCGTAAGAACTCCGTTCCCATTCTTGACCACTGTCAGTGGCAAGAGATGCCGCTTTGAGGATTTTTTTTGCCTTATACAAACATCAACTCATTGGCCCTATTTCTGTCACATAACTGTCTTATCGTTGATGCCAATCTTTCATGAAAAAGTGACTTTCACGGTAACATTAGCCTGAACTAGCAAATCTAATTTAGATCAACATCCCTCAGGGGGGATCATAAAAAGCGCATTTCTAGACCTTGAACTAGCAAACCCAATTTGGATCAACACCCCTCAGGAGGAATCATAAAACTAGCATTTCAAGACCTTCTAGACCTTATTTTTATGTACATAGAAAGAGAGGAGGGCTAAAATCATTTGGCTTGGAACATGACAGAATTCAAGGCCATCCAACACGCATTGATATTGTCACCATCCACCGCATATCCATCCATTCCGTATCCATCCATCTATCCTCATTGAAATGCCGTGATCGGACGGTTGGTAGCTGGGCGATATTAAGCTCTTGCCACTCACCACTGACCACAGACTGTTGACAAAGTTGTTTTTATCGAAGTAGGCAAGACTGATTGCTAAGTAGACTTCGTTCAAACTGCCACCTGAATTTGGTAGTAGTTTCGTCTAGCAGATGGGATCGGATTTCACATCCTTGGTTGGAGATTACCAAGGAGAATTAAATTGTTAAACGTCTTCCCACGGTGTGGATGTTACCTGTGCCGATCACATTCCAAAGTCCCAAAAAGGCGCATTGTAAATTAACAAAGCTTTCGTGGTTCTGGGTAAATCGCTGTGTGATAACGGGTTGTGGTAGCCAAGAGCTTGCTTACATAAAAGCAAAGAAAGTTGCATGTCCGTGCTTTGGTCCCCTCTGTTGACCTAAGGACTATGTTCCCCCTCATGCCATCAAATGCCTACTGAATGGGCCTAATGGATGTGATTCCATAACTACTGTATTTAAATCCCTTTTAAAGAGGAAGAAGCTTCTCGTACGGCCTCTATGGTGCAGCATTCGGTAGGAAGGTGCTTCCTACAGAGTCCAATTTTTTAAAACCATTTAACTGTGGAGATGATTCATTCCAAGTTGATGAATCACATCCAGCAGGACCTGCTAGTCTTGGCACTATGGGCTTACCCTTCCCCATTAGGGTGCAACTTCGGGAATAACTTTTTTTGGTCGCGTATAATTCGCGTGGAAGAATGAATCTTTTCTACCCAGATCAAGTGAGAAAGAAAAGTCGTGCCAAATTTTAACTAAAGATGATAATAAGCGTCAAAGCCAATCCACACGAAGTTCTTCACATCTTTCACTTGGGGTAGAATAGAGGCGAGCAGTTTAACTCTTTGTTAGCTGAATGGCAGGTTGACTTGTGATGAGAAATAGTTTTGTGCCTTTCGCCCTTAACCTTCCTTCAAAGAATTATTTTCCCTTCTACGCCACACTTCTGGGAAGCACACCACCACCTACATCATCTCCCACCCGACTGTGCTTGCATTGGCTTCGTGGGTTTACGTGTGCGATATATTGCAGAGGCAGTTGTTAACTTATCGAAGATCTAGAAACAGTCTTGTCTGAGACCTATCGCCTGCATGCATTATGATACCACTCAAAGGTACCTAAGGTGTTTTCTGCGATACGGCGGGGACAGTGAGGATATTGGGAAAAAAACCGTCCTTTTAATCTCAAAGGACTATACAAGGCTTCATACCCCATGCCTCAAACACATTACCCCACACGGAAACCGAGCTAATACTTGAGTAGATTGACACTTCATGATGAGATGTGATAGGATGACGAGGGATGGAAAGGGGATGCTGTCTCATCTCCACCTTCAACCTCAACCTCAGTCTCATGCTGTTTTTGCCTCATGATATTTCCCCAGGCTTCTAGTGGAAAGCATTACCTTTCCTTATCACTGGCATTAGCTAGCCAAATGGCCACTTGAGAAGTAAAGTTAGATTGTAATGAGGTGGCTAGAGCGAGCTGGATTGTTAGAGCATTTAGAGAAGTTGTAAACAGTTTCCGTCCCATCGAGAAAGAATTATAGCCTTCTCAGAGCATTTACATTATTGAATAAAACATTCAGAAAATACTGCACAGTTAGTTCCCTTTTATCATTAAAATCTTATTTACATATCCTCCAACTACCCATAGAACTCTTTCCTGGCACTTTTCTCTGCACGGATATAAAGAAAGTATGGCCCTCTTAAACCGTCCAATTTCAATAAATGTATTTGGAATACTGATAGCGTTCGAGTGTACACTATATGCTTAACTAAATTTGAACTTGAAAGTGAACTTTATATTGCGTTTTGCATATCCCAATTCTAAGTAGCCTGACCTAATATATGGTCATTAATCATGCACGGCTTCCGGAATGCCAACTTGTCAAAAGGTATAAAATGTCGAGATTGCATTCCTTCTAATACGATCGAAGTCTCCTTCTTCATAACTTAGGTTTACGTGATTGATAGCAGGACTTTGCTCGCCATGAGGTGAAATAGTAGTAAGAGGGCTAGTAAATGTGACTACTAAAACTTATCACAGCATGAGGATTCCAGTTAAAGGATGACTTTAGTCGTCTAGAAAATTGGACAATCAGTTTGTCAAACTAAGATCAAATGAAGAACGAGTGATCAGAATCGAGATACAGGCACAGTCATTAATGATCTTCAAAAGAAAATCTTAACTGATGGAGACTAAAGTAGGTTTGGATCAAAAAAAAACTATAAAGGAATGCCAGGTCCAACTCTCCACGTTTATTGTTATTCCTATCTTTCATAACGAAAAGTGACAGCAAAATCTGTCACTTCGTCTTATGCGTGTGTTTGGCCAAATTATTCAAACAAACAAATGCGGTAGGCCACATTATTTGCGTTTATTGTAAGACTAGAAAGTGTTTTTTTACGTTTTTGTCCATATTCTGAAACCAAACCTCTCATATAAAATAACTGAATCGGATGCCTAGCGTCTAGGAGAGCGGTATTACCATAGATATTTTCATCACTTAAGATCTTCACACCAAATAATGCAGACGGGCCAAAATACGCTCATTACTGGTAAAATAGTCAGATAAGTATTTGACGTTATTCGATAAAAATAAGTAATTACAAGAGGACTTTCCAAGTATTTATTTTTAAAATGGTAATCACCATAACATGTAAGCCCTTCCCAAAGGAACACGAGCTGCCTGCAACCTACACTTTTATGCAAGGATTCACCTCTAAGAGAAATTGAAATGATAAAACTTTAGTGATGTCCATTTTTATCTCACAATCACCTCTTAACCATCCATTCTACTTTGCAGGCAGTCTTGTGCTTGACGAATGCCGGTGCCAAGAAAAGGCGAAGATCAACACTTGGAGCTTGAAGAAATGTCAACAGGGAATGTACGGTATGAGTGGAGATAAAGTTGAGGTCGAAGTTAAAAGTAGAGATGAGTCAGCACCTCCCTTCCTTCCCTCACTACCTTTATCTCATCTCACACTAAAGTGCCAATCTTCTCACTCCTGAGTTTGTTGACCAAATGAGGTATGACTTATAAACCAAGACGTAGGAGAGCTTGCTCTGCCTTGTATTGTATTGCTTTGTGATATGTGACAGTGAGCATTACTGCGCTGCGTTGTCTTGTCAGGGTGGGGATAGAAGGAAGATGGCGAATTTCCCCCCAGTCAAGGCTAGGATTCACTAGTCCGTGCAAATGCGTACACACAAGCGCAAACTCAAAAATAGAAAAGCTAATCGTCCGGAGATGGTGTATGAAATAACGCATGCCTTAGAGGTAGGGGGTGATGAGTGCATTGTGCGCAAAATTTGAAAAGCTATTTTTAGTCATAAGTCATTCATTTGGCAAACAAAATAAGTCTGTGCAAAAGATGAAAAAAAGGGAAATTGATGGTCTGCATGTGTGCATCATATGCTGTTAATTAACGACTTGTAGGTGGTCCGATCCGCCTAGCCTCTTAGCTTTCCTGATTTCCGATTTGCAGTTAATGTGGTTGCAAACGGAAGTATCCAAAATACCATCCCTAGTGGTTTAATCCCGACTTAACGTGTCCTTAATGACACGTAAATCCTAATTTCCGGCTACACAAGAAGCTTCTGCAGTTAACTTCGGTTTGTAAAACAGACAACCTGAAAATCCCATCCATCAAGTTCATTTAACCGATATGAAGTGGCTTCAATGTAAGCAGAAAATAGAGGAGAAAACATTTAAGAGGGCTGTGTGGACGGATGGACTGACGCATTTTAAGGGCACATTAACATGAAAGGAAGCTCATTGTATTTTCGCAGAATAGTTGAGAAGCCATCAACGAAGGTCCTATGGTGAGAGATCCATGCCTGTAGTATAGAGGCATGTGTCTTCAAAGACGGGAAAGATAACTAAATTCATTACCGTTCCGTATTTTAACTTGTTGCCATATAAACACCTTAAGAGGGTGAAAGCCTTGTAACCCCACGGTGTTGATTACACCTATTTATTAACTTGGAAGAGCCTACAGCTAATTTTCCTGCAGTCATGCGTTCATACGAAGCCGACTCACAGGGACGAAAGATTGAGGCTGGATGTTAGTATGCAGACACTTCGGCATGGTCAAAGTTCGTCCCTCCTGACCCAAAAAATACTGACACCCACCTGCGTATGTGAGTTTTTCTTCACTTTAGAAAGCGCTTTAGGTGGGAGGGCTCCGTCTTGTGCGTGTGTGTACTTTGTGTTCCATTCCATCCATCACCCTAATCCGGCTTGGCCTCCAACGTCAGCGAAGTAGGAAGAATTACTGTGAAAGGCAAAAAAATACCCAGGATAATCAAGACCTCTGCTCGCAGTGCTACTTTGTTGCCTTGAAAAGACGAGTTTTGCAGGGTGTGTGTGTATGTCTGTGTGCCAGTACCAGACAATTGGAAAGCGCCTCGTGTCAAAGGTAAGAATCTCTCGGCGTGCAAAGTGCATATGCCTTACTGCATTAAGGCCATGAAAGTGTTGACCTTTTAACATCTGGTTATTTACTTGACGAAATAACGCAAATGATTTATGTTGGGTCGCGGTTAAAGGCTTAACCTATCCCATGTCGATAGTGCTTTACAGTCAATGGTTTCGTATCCATTCCTTTCCACATTCCACTTTTGGAAGATGGATTACCTCACAGGGCCTAGATGTGCAGCTCGCTCCACCCACCTCCGTTCCTATCTCACTTTTACTTCTCATGTGCCTACTGTCGCTTTCGAATGTGATCATGCGATTGACTAATGGCATTGACAAGGAAAGATGATGCTCTTCACTTGGAGCTGGAAGAAATAGCCTCAAGGGGAAACGCAGAAAGAAAATAAGGTTGAGGTTGCAGTTGCTGGCACAGCATTTCCTTCCCCCAGGTATCAACCTTTTGAGACCGTACGACGTATGGGGTATGCGACCCTGTGCTGACCTTTAAGAGTAAGAAGGCGCCACTAGTCCTCACCGTATCGCAAGAAACACATTGTCGTATCTCTGCGTGGTATCGCAATGCATGCAGGAGATAAGTCTCAGACGTGACTGCTGTTTGGTCCTCAGAAAGCGATCAACCGCATCTGTGATGTAGCACACGCCCAAACCCACAAAGCATAAGCAAGTGCAGTCTAGTAGGGCTGCTGGATGTAGCCGACTGACTCCTTCCTTTAAGACAAGCGATGAAATTTGAGGGCAGGCGATATCAAAATGCACTAAATCACAGAGGGTTTTAAGTCTCTTAAGTAAAATAAAATGCAGACAACGCACAAGAACTAGCGTTTTGAATCCGAGGGGAATTTGGTTTATCACCGTGAATTCAACATCAGCTGTTTGACTTTATCTAACAACTAGGCTTTCAGATTCAGCAAAATGATACTTGCAGATTTCTCGCCAACGCACTGTGAACTTGGTGTGCTTCTAGGAGGCATTAGTGAGGGGTGGGCACGACTAGCGATATTGCCTTGCCCTTTGACCGTGATTATGCACCAAATGTCCTCCGCCTCACCACCCAATTTAGCCCGAACCCTCTTCCCCTTTTTGGGGGGAGTGGAGGCGTTTGCCTACATGGACAGATGCGCCCTTACTTATCCCAATAAAGAGAATTAATACACGCATAAATAGAAATGCCTGATACCAGTGGGACGATACTCCTTCAACTGGGAACCGACAATGTCGATGAAGTGAACCCGACAAATGTGATTCGGATTTGTCGGCTTCATGAACAAAAAAGAAATATGTGCTAAAGTCACAGAAACTTTTCGTAAAATTTGGTGAACAACATCTGGAGAAGGTGGGATAATAAGTTGTGGTAGAAGAATGCACCGCTGAGAAATGTTAGAAAGTGTGGTTTGGGATAGATGTATCACATTCAAACAAACTATCCCAGATTTGTGCATAATTAGGTATTTTTGTCCAAAACAATTCCAAACCAACGTGCAAAATGTTCAAAATAAGGATGGGTAGAGTGTTTGACTATCCGGGACAATTTTGGATGCCTTCAAGCAAGAAGAAGGTGAAATTCTAGGCTCGAATTCGACCACTTCGGG